GTTGAATAGGATAGACAGGAAGTTTTTTTTAAGTCCCTTCACCACCAACATGATCTGTTTTTGTCACTTTACAGTCTAAGGCCACAACAGCTTCATGTTTCCTGTTGTCATTGATGACTTAACAGTAACAGCTAATAGATGTCTAAATCTACTTCTGTAAAAATTCAGTGACGCACTGGAAGTTGGAGTTCGAGTGTTGTAAAATGCCAACCCAGCCGACTTTGGTTGTAAATGTCAGGACCGCCGTTGGACAACTCAATTCTGAGGACATCCCCAGTCTTCCAAGTAAGGGGAAATAATGGGGAAAAGTAGACAGTGATGGGGATGCCGTAAATGAATGGCCTAAAAAGAGGGGGAACAGTAGATTTTTCGGCAAATATGTGCTTGTTTAAGTTCATTACTAATACTTTCTGGGTGCATTCCGCGCCATCCGTCATTTCTGTATGTATCATGGAGGTGAGTGGCATGTGTTTGACTAATAGAGCGTTATATGTTCTCATTTATTAGCATCCGGAATTTAAGGGTGCATCTTTCATTGAGAAATTGAGGTCTGCATTGTTACAGAAGCGTGTATATTGTCACTGATCTACGTTTTACAGACGGTGTAAACGAATTTATAAAGCCATTTATTAGTTCAAGAGAAGTATGAAGGAGTGTCTTAGGGACGCAAAAATGCTTCCCAGAACTGGTAAATTAGCCTAATCAACATTGACAAATGACCGGGTGTAACTACAGAATTTCTAAACGAAAAACTAAAGGAGTGTGGTAATGTTTAATATAATTATTTTAATGATGATTTCAGATTCGTGGGCGGATGCAATACAATTTGAAACCGTAGTCCAAAAACTTCATGATTACAAGGACAGGGTGAATGCTGACGAAGTTACCTTCTCGTTACCGGTGAAGTGCAAACGGTAAGACACATTGAATCTGGAGCTTACATTTACAGGGTTATGAAAAATTAAAGATGGTGATTTCACATACAATTCTCTGGACCTCAACTTGATTGATGCCCAACGAGATCTTATGGTCTCAACGTATCCAAACGTTAAAGTGATGGAAACAGTAATATCGCCTGTCACTAGGTAACTTAACTTCGCGTTAATTAGTTGCATTGCAGCACTTCAAGAAAACATCAACCATTGCTGGTGTCCTCACCTATTTCTGCAGCATCTTGCAACGACCAGGCGGCAGTAACCTTTAAGATAATAAGTGGCTGAAAATAACTAACCTTTCTCAATTTCATGCGAAGGCATATTGGAGGATATCGCTAAGTACAATAGGCCAACCTATTTCTTGCTTCAAAGGTTGGTTAAAGGGAAACCGGACAGCAGTGGTATGCTGCATGCAGCCGACCCTATGAGATATCCCCTGGAAACCGAGGAGCAACTGGATATGCTAGAGGTGTCATTAACAGATCTAGGTTTTCGAGATGCCTTTGTTAGGACAAGCACGCTTCAAATATTTACTTTTAGACTGCAAAAATGTCCAGTAAGGTAATCTTGGATATCAAGGGGTCCATGAGGCATATGCTGACTTACTATCGCCGGCACTAGCTATTCGTTGCACACTCATCGGAACACCTAACAAGCTGGCATTGTGCAAATGCTCTTTCCACAAAGTTGTTCGATGTAAGTATTTCATCCGGTAACAACTTGCAAATTTTGTTCTAGCCATACTACTTGCTGAATTCAGTCGCCTGAGCATAATGAAGCATGAACTTCTGCACGAAATGAATGATGCTACCAAAGCATTCTTTCATGACCTTAGAGATCGGGTTTCCAAGCGTAGCAGCCGGAATCAATCAAAAGTAAGCATTCCTATGTTTTTCCCTCCACCTAATTTTTAATGTGCCCTCAAAGATAAGGAATTCATGAATATTTAAGGCAACTGGTCCCTTTGATAAATTTAAACAGCGTAATGAGAAGACGAAGATTATCTGAAACATAAATAGTTCGACAAGTCCATGTGTGATCAGATTGTTCGAAATGTATAGCGCTAATTCATGAATAGTTTTCTTTATTTACAGAAAAATAGCGGGATGCAATATGAGGCTGGTACAATAAACAGCGTGAATTTTCCCGAATTAACAAATTTCATTTACATAACATTTTTAAAAAAAGGGTTATCAATCTTCTTTGCCTTTTCAAGACGAATTACTGCTTAAACATATGGAAAAAATTCCTGAGGAAATTTGTCTTTCTTTTTTTCCGGAAAGTCTAATTTAAAGGTAATGTTTTAATAAGTCGGTTCGTTTCCCCACGAATGTCGGTTTTTTTTAACTGTTGAGCTTTCCCCTTATTCTAATTTTTCCCCCTTTTTGGTCTGTATGGGATAGTTTTATTTAAGACAATGAAGTCTTTGCAAACCAGGTGTGTTCATGGAGCGTAGGTGGGAACCGTTGAAGAAGCCTTGCAGGAAGGCCTTGAAGGGAAACCAGAGGTAATGCTCTACAAATTCTTTTGCCTCCACAATGAAGTACTGGATAGGGGATATAAACTACTAGTTGCTGTCCTTAACTCTGTCTCTCACGATCACGTAAAAATGCTTTGCGAATTGAAAGCAGTAGATTGGTGAACGGCTGAGCTTATCAACTATCATCTAAGGCATACCGATGATATCTAGCAAATAGTATGATTTACTGGATTCCAAGTTACATTGATTGGTCGATTTCCGCCACTCACGTTTCCAAGATGTTCACATTCATTTTGAGCGCTCTCTCTGGACAGTTATGCCTTAAGCAGTCTTCACCTTGTGACTTATTCTTCAGCATCTTCAACTTTGCTCTTATAGTCTAAGTTTTCTAATTCGTCTCTTCATCATTTCTGATTCAATGTCTACAGAGGACAACCTATGAAGATAATAACAATATTTCTCAGATGACTCAATGTACATGAATGCAGCCACTTTTACAGGCATTATCTTTATGATTCAGAACTACAAACGCAAAAATACTGATTGTTTGATGCAATCTCGACTTATTTGTTGAATAACTACATAGTTACTAATTAGTCGGAAGTATATAAGTTTACTCTTATCATTTCGTGCAATATTCTCTCAAGGTTAGGTAGTCCCTTCCACTTTCCACTTTGTTGGCAGGGCGTAACGATTCAGGAGTATCCTAAAAATTTGAACTTAACCAGAAGTTGACATTAACAAGTGCTTGTATATAATTCTAAAATATATGCTTATATTGCAATTCCAATGTAGAAAGTTGGTTAAAAACCTGGAAGAAATGCATTTTAATACATTTTATTATCCCTGAATCCCTGAATAATTATTGTTCACGCTTAGATATTATTTTACGGTAGTCATTTCTGCTTTATTGAACAGTTAGTTACACAGATGATGATTGAAGTGTCTTGACAACTATAAGTAGATACAGGAAATGAATTTAAATATGTGGGTTTTTAAGTCTTTTATGAAACCCTTCTGGATTGCGCTACACCCAGGGATCTCCTAATAACTTTTTTCCTGAAAATCGGCAAATGCTGAAATTTGTGATTATTATGCTGGCATTTTGGTTTTCTAGGGATGTAAATCTGAAATGTAGAGTTTTCAGTTACTTACCAACTGACTGAGATTAAAAATTGTCTATTTCTCCATAGCTTTTGTCTATTTTTCAGTTTCTAAGCATCTTACTCTTTTACCTAATTTGTGACAGATTGACTTGATATATTCAGATTATTAAGTTACTAGCGTTATGTAACACATACAGATAAACCAGATGAAACTTCGGTCCCCAGAGATAACCGTATTGTTTCAAACGATACGTGTTCATAGGAAAAAACAGCTGATTAGAGAGGTGATCGGCTGATTTGGTTCAGTTAAAATACTGAACTGTTCTGTTACTTTTCCGCATGGAAATTGATTAACTCCATTATGACATGTCTAAAAGGTATACACTTGTCAGTAAAGAGTAAAAGATGACTATATGTGTTGAATTAACTTAATTTTTGCTAACATTAGGGTACTAAAATCCCGAAACAATAATTTGGAAATCCATATATATACAAAATTCCTTTCTTACTTGTTCTCGTTTACCCTATGGAATGTTGCCTTCATATTTACTTTTTACCCTCAGTGTTATACTACTTAATTTGTTTTAAGTAGCTAAGTCCGTAATTCCTTATTATACTTTTCCACCCACAGACTAGACTGCACATTCTCCGATTCGTATCTTGTTCACCATTTATTTAGCTCCCTTAGATACCTATCACATATTATGGTGGTGTTGTGATTTCTCTGGCTGTTTACTGATGTTCTACTTTCCCATGAACATTTCTTTATCTTGTGTCTTTACCTCATCAAAAGAAATTAGGCGGGTCTTCTATAATCCCTTCTGGTCGCCTAGACAGCTAACATATTTTCACTGTTCACACACTGATGCAAAGTGCTTCAATGGCGATAAACCCACAGATACCTTACAATTCGAGGTTTGTATTTCATTACTCAACTTATTGTGATATTTATTATTCGTCCCTTGGGTTCCTAGTGGCAAATACCGCTTCAGTAGCACGTCTCCATTCCACTCACTTCTCTGCAATATTTTGAACCTGGCTACACGACAGCCAAGAACCTTTCATTTCTTCTTCACACCATCTCCTCCATGTCAAATGAACGTCCAATCTGCATTCAAAAGAGAAGTTAACGACTTTTTTCTCCACTATGTTACTAATGAAAAATGTTATGTTCGATTTTTTCGAATAACCTAATGAGATAACTACGCGCCAATTCTTTACTTTCGGGTATCTTCACTATGCAGACTATTCTTTCGATTACGTAATACCTTCTCACTTCTGTTCTACAACTATTTTCGCCACTCGGTTGACGTTCACTTCTGACCACATATACCCATCTCCAACACCCTTATTCTTTGTACTAAATATTCACTATTAACTTGTCATAAAAATTAACTCACTGAAGAGCTACACTTCTCTTCATTAAAAACTGTCCTCCGTATACTTTGTTAAAATGTTCAAAGAAAGTGAAATCATCTATCAGTGCGTAGAAAATCCATGATTCAAACGTTTTAATACAAAAAAATAGGAATGAAGAAAGCATTTACCATGAATATCGATTACATCATGCTTTATCCAGTTATTAAATCCAATAACTCCATCGAAATCAAGCTTATCAATCTCATTCTTTATATAATTCCGTAAGTCTGCATCCTCTGGAATTGGATTTCCAGATTTGGAAATATTATTACAGTTATTATAATCCGTTGTTGGCATAAAATTTGGCAGAAAATGGGTATACAATTTTAACAATAAATGACTTAAACATAATGTGATATTGAATGTTTTAGATAGACTTATCGATTCCTGCATTGTTTCCAGTGATTGCTCAAATCGTGTTAATCGTTTTAAGAATAATGATGACGAGTTGATGAATGGATTAAACCGTTGTATTAAATTAATGAACATCGGTTGACTTGACAAACTGGGATCAAGTAGTTCAGGAAATCCACAGACTAAAAATGGAGAAGATTATATACATATAGAAATTTAGAGATTTGTGAAATACCATATGAGTCTCACGAAGTATATATGAGATGCGTTCATAATTCCCAATGTGACATTAAAAACAAGATATTCAGCGAAGAGAACTCTTTTCAACGAATTTATTCTCAAGCTGTACATTCGTATGTATATGATATTTGAATACTGTAGTCCGTGAGGAAGATTTAACTTAAATAAATAGGGCTTGAAACAATAATAATGGTGGTTATAATTATCATGTCGCCAGTTCATGATGTAAAGGTGGGATGATAACAAAAAGGGGTTACGTAAGATTTTCAAATCGTTTATAAGGTGCATATAGCAAATATAGCTCCTATTCTGCGTTTTTATGGTTACCGACATATTAATGAAACTAACAATGATATTAAACGCAATATAGGTATGACTATTAGTTCTCAACCATTATCAATCCGTATAAGAAAATTCTTACAGTAATTGTTTACTGATTACATCTCATAATTAAATATTACTACTCAGAACGATGTAAACATCAACAGTTTCAGAGGAAGATTTTAATTCTGACAGCTACTTTTAATATAAATGAAAAACTTGGGCACTGTGGTAGAATGTAATTCCATATTAGACTTGTTTATTTGATATAAAGCGCACAGTGATACAGTATTATTTACTTGATTACGTTTCTAGCATAAATTACTGCTCATAATCATATCAATATGATATGATTGATATGATTATGAGCAATAATTTATGCTCGAAACGTAATCAAGCAAATAATACTGTATCACTGACAGCTACTTTTCTTTTACTGAATGTTACGCAATAATACCATAACTATATATCTTAATCGAACAAATATTCTTGCACAAACTAAACGGAGGTAGGAAAACGAAAATTGTGGAATTTGAAGGATGAGGCTAAATAAGTCAGTGAGTGGATAATAAGCAGAAAACAAAATATCATAGAACAGAATAGGCAGAACTAAGTAGATTAAGATTAGGATTTACTGTCAAGTGAAAATCCAATGACAAGAAAGTGATGTTATCAAATCAGTGAAAGGTTAAGAATGTAGGTTACTAAGGGAGTTAAACGTTGTCGATAGGTCCCTTTTAAACTTATAAATCTCATTTTAGGCGTTTGTTTGCAATATCTCCACTAGAGCGAATAAGATTTGAATTATTTAGTTTTTTCTGTACATTCATAAATTCCCATTGTGACCCTAAAAACAAGATATTCAGCTAAGAGGACTCTTTTATCCTCAAGCTGTACATCCATATATATATATATATATATATATATATATATATATAGACTGTAATCCGTGAGGAAGATTTAACCTAAATAATGGGGGGTTGAAGTAATAATAATGGTGGTTATAGTATAATTGCTTGTATTATACCGTCGTTGACTGGACCAAAATGATCGGTCTCTATTGGCATATGGGGTCCTATGCGGATGCCCTCATATTGCCTGTGTTCTTAATTATGTATAGTAATGATGTATAGTGGCTAGCAGTGGAATCCAGGATGCGCATTTCATCCCATTTGGGGCTAGTTAGCTGGATATACCTGCCTCCCAGTGGGTGTTTATAGTTAAATTAATGTTACTAGTTCATGACGTAAAGGTTGAATGACAATAAGAAGGGGTTACGTAAGATTTCTGAATCGTTTATAAAGTGGATACAGATTGAAAAGTGGTAGAGTTAAAAAATTATCAAAGGACTAGGTAATATGAGTGAAACAAGTTAACTGAAAAAAACTGGAAATGTTTTGTTTAAAGTTGCGGTTATTAGGAAGATCAAATGAAATAACACCTGAAACAAGTAAATATAAAAGTAAAGTGATAATGAAGATACAAGAGTACAAAGAATAATCTAACAAAAAGGGATGAAAGATGCAAAACCAAGAAGGAATGAAGTACACCAAGACCGGAATAAGTTAAGGCCAAGGTAGAGACAAGGACTGTACATACTTCTTTTGCACACATATGTTAGGCAGGCTTCCCTTCATGGATAACCAGGGCCTCTGCTGTTTTCAGGAGCGGAATACGGAGGAAACGTGAGATGTTTGAGCGAATTCAATTATTACTATTATTATTTCGCCCATGAGTTCCCATTGGAAAATACCGCTTCAGTAGCACACCTCCATTCCACTCGCTTCTCTGCAATCTTTTGAATCTGGCTACACGACAGCCAAGAACCTTTCATTTCTTCTTCACACGATCTCCTCCATGTCACCGTCCAACACCCTCCCCCAATTCGCCGTTCCCATCTGGATTCCTCTCGAGTGCCTGAGGCGAGATGTCCCTGAACGGTCTTCTCACTGCATGCCCAATCAATCTCCACTTCCTTCAAGTGCATATTTGTTGAGCGATAGGTTCTTGGTTCGTTCGTTACCCGGTCAGAGTTCCTTGTTGCTTATTCTTTCTGGCCATCCATCTGAGCTTCAGTAACGAGCCAGTGTAGGCAGTTGTTGATGAATCTCTGTAGTTTCTTGTAAATCCCTTTCGTAACGCGCCAAGTCTCTCAACCATCACACAGAAGCACTGACTCACTCGACTGAATTAGTCTTGAAAATCCTGATCTTGTTCACGCCTTATGTTGAGTGCAGAAGATCTCCACACTAGTTTCAGGTTAATGAACGCCAGTCTTGCTGTCTTCCCGATCCTGGCTAGTTTTGACGTCCTCGTCTGTGCCTGTGCCGCCTGTAGTTGAAACGGTGCTGCATAGATAGGTGAAGGAGGCTACTTCATTTAGGTTTCTCCCGTTGATGGTGATTGGAGCTTGTTGTACTTGGTGGTGGTGGGGTTGGTTGGTTGGGTATCTTCATCACCTCTGTCTTCTCTACATTCACTTGAAGCAAGTCCCGTCTTCGCTGCCTTGCCTCTTCTGTCAACTTGTCGGATTTTGCCTGTAGATCTTCAAGTTTGTGCGACATTAGACACAAGTCATCACTGGCGAAATCCAAATCTTCTAGGATCTTTCCCCGGTCCAGTGTATGCCCATCTTCTCGCTTCTCACGGTTTCCTGCATGATACAGTCCACCACAATCAGGAAGATCATTGGTGGTGATAGTAGGCAGCATTGTCTTACTCCTGTTTTCACTTCAAAGGCATCACTGACCTTCCCACTGTGAATTACTTGGCATGTGGTGTCTTCGTATAGCGTATGGCTGATGAATGAGGTTGATAAAGGTTTGTGGTATTCCGTAGTATTGCTGCAGTTGCCATATTACTTCTCGGCCGACGCTGTTGAAGTGGAGGCGTTTTCGAAGCCCGCGAAGCTGAGGTAGATTCGAGTTGACTGCCATTCTATGCTCTGTTCCGTGATGGTGCTCAGCGTAGCGTTGCAATTTGGTCCACACATGATTTGTACTTCCTGAAGCTGGCCAGTCAGCCTGTTCCGGTGGTAGTTTTGAATCCAGTGCATCATTCAGTCTCTCCACGATGATGCGGCATAATATTTTGCTTACTCTGGGTGGACAGTAGCATGATTCCTCTCCAGTTGTTGTTCTTGCAAAGACTTTGGTCTCCCTCCTTCGGGAGTTTGATAAGGTAGGTTGTATTCTTCCAATCAATAGGCAGGTACCTTCCCTTCATTCCTTCATTGCAAACCTTCTGCAGTAGTAGTGTGAGCATATCTGCTGTTGTCTGTGCGTCTGTTCTCAGTGCTTCTGGTGGGATTCTATCTGGTCCTGCTGCTTTCCCGCATTTCAGTAGCCTTATGGCATTCAGGACTTCGACGTTCGTTGGAGGGCTTGTGTTCGTTGGTAGTTCTGTGGCTGGGCTGCAAGTGGTATTTCTGGATGAAGTGCAAGTGCAGGTGGTGGTTGATTCATGAGCTTTTTGAAGTGGTCAGCTCATCGTCTCATTTCTTTCTCTTCTTTGGTGACTAACTTTCCTTCACCATCTTTCATTGGTCTCATCTGCATTGATCTCTCTCCTCCCAGATAGTAATCTGGTTATTTGATACAATGTTGTCAGGTCTCTATCTCTACTACCTGCAGCCTGTTCTGCTTCAGTTGGAAGTGTGTCGTGGAAGTGTGGTTTGTCTTTGAGCGCGCTCTCATTCACTTCTTTGTCCAGGGTAGTGTTTTGTAGGTTGTGTTCAGTTCCTCTTTTCGTTGTTCATCCCTGAACTGAACTGCACTGCACTACACTCGTTCATCTTCTGCTTCACCATCACCTTCTTCCTCTACCTCCTCTATCAGCTTCCATGTGTCCGTCAAGATCCATTCCTTATCTTCTTTCTTCTTCTTTCCTAATACGGTTGTGCAGGTTTCTTTCCATATAGCTTTCAAAGAGTTCCAGTGTTCTTCTACACAGGTTCCTTCAGGGATGTTGCTCACTGTCTCCCATTTTGTTCTGATGGCTGACTGACTGACTGACTGACGTGAAGATTTCCTTTGTAGTTTTGTCCTTCAGTTCAGTTTCTGTTCTGGGTGTTCAACTGGAATTTCAACTGTGGTCGTCTATCATCACCAACTTCTTTGCAGGTCTTCAACTTGATTGTGTGAAGGCAGGTTCATTGCACTGGATAGTGAGTGGTGTGAACCTACATCCACTCCTCTTCTTCATCTGATCTTGTGTCTAGTAGGCTGGCTGCGTCTCCACTTTCTTCACATCGAGATGAAGTCGATCTGATTTGTAGTGTAGTGTGTCCTAGTGTCTGGTGAGATCACATCCATGTCTCTGCCTTGTGAATATCATTGTGGTTGTACACACTGTCTCGCCTCCAATCACCAAATGGTTGAATGCGCAGAAATCTGCAAACAGTTCTCCATTCTCATTCATTTCACCGAGTGCTTCTCGACCCATCATTGGTTGTCTACTTTCAGTTCTAAATGAATATCATCTTGAAGTCAACGTATCCTCACACATCCTAGAATTAGATTAAAGTACTTCACAAACTCTGTCAACATAATTTTGCGAAACAGCAGGCGAAAAAC